GCCCAGCCCCTCCAGAAGCACTCTAACCCGGTCCTCCCCAACCTTAGGTCTGGAGGCGTTCCCCTCGAGTCTGTCTTGAATCACGGTGGGGGAGTCCTGGTCCCTGCACAAGAAAATGGAGGTGAAGAATTTGTTAAAGAGGTCTGCCTTCTCCTCTGGCACAACTGCCAGCTTGCCCAGCATATCTTGCAGAGGCCCCACATTTTCTGGCACCTTCTTCATCCTCCCTATATATTTGAAAAATGACTTTTTATTCTCTTTGATCTTGGACGCTAGTCCTAGCTCTATGTCCGCCTTAGCTTTCCTAACAGCCCCCCTACAGGCCACAGCAGTGGAGGTATACTCCTCTTTGGAGATCGCCTCCCCCTTCCACTGGGTGTACGCCACCTTTTTGGCAACCAGGCATTCCCAGATGTCCTTGGTGAGCCAGAGGGGCTTTTGGGCACTCTTGCTCCCCTTGCTTCTTGTTGGGATCATCACCTCTTGGGCCCTGAGTATCATCTCCTTAAGGAATGACCACTCATCTTGGGCACTGAGTTCCCCTGCCCTCAAGGACCTCAGTGCCTCTCCCACCAACCTCCTCAACTCGCTGAAGTTGACCCTCTTGAAGTCTAGGGCTACCGCCTTGCTGCAGGCCCTTGGCACACTGCGCTGGATGATGAATTCCAGCAAGCAATGATCGCTTTCACCCAGGTGGTCAAGGACCTGGAGCCCCCTTACCAGATCATCGCCTGTGGCCAGGACCAGGTCCAACAGGGCATTTCCTCTGGTGGGACTGTGCACCTCCTGGGTTAAGTGGAGGTCCTGTATCTTGGCCAGGAACCTCCTGGATCAGTCCGACCTGGCTGACTGCTCCTCCCAGCAGATGTTGGGGTAATTTAGATCACCCATGACAACTACATTCCTTGCTTTAAGTGTCTTTGCAAGCTGGCCCGAAAATTCACGTTCCAGCTCCTCCCCTTGGTTGGGGGTGTCTGTAGTAGACCCCCCCCCGTTAAATTTGGATGACATTTGCAGGAGTTGTAGCCTCTGAGAGCGTACAGCCTGCCAAGTTTCAAGAAGATTGGTGCAGGGAATTGGGGGGAACTACACCCCAAATTATTGAAAGCAAAACTTGTGTCACGTCTATGTGTTACAACACGGGGGGTGGGGGGCGTGAAAACTGCAGGGGTGGTGGCCCCTGGCGAATCCACAAAGCCTGGTTTCAAGAAGATTGGTGCAGGGGACTGGAGAGATCTGCACCCCCAGATGCTGACAGGCAAAACTTGTGACATAGATGACCCTGTGTGTGTTAAGGCGCAAAGGGCTGAAAACTGTAGGGATGGTGGCCCCTGATCAGGCCACAAAGTCTGCCAGCTGTTGAGGATATATGGGGAAACAGCTGGGGACGGAGGACGCCATCCTCTTTCCTGTCACGGGCCAGGAGTGGGGCCCAGCCGACACAGGTGCTGCCCCGGGAGCACAGGAGCCCATCTCGGGCCAGGGACCCTGGGAACACAGCCCCTGGAGTGCCCCCAAACCCATCTCTGCACCACAGACACGCGCTGATGCTCTCTCCCCCATGGCAGGTGTGGAGGTCCCTGCTCCCTGCACACCCGTGACACACACTTGCCATTTTGGTGTTCCCACCCGGCCCTGCAGGATAACCACTACGCCACGGCCCTCCCCATCCCTCCCAAGGTGCGGGGCCAGGGGAGCTCCCGCCACAGCCATGGGAAACATGTGGCCTCTTCCCCTTCACAGGCAGGCAGGGCCCACAGGAGACACACACGGGACTGAATGCCAAGGGGAAGTTTATTATCACAGCCTTGTGTTGGGACCATGCAGAGGAGGGGAAAGGAGACGCAGGAGCGCAGCAGAGCGAGAGGAGGCAGAGGAGAGCGGGACTGGCATGGTTGGGCACAGCAGTGTGGGGAGGGGGCACAGCAGGCCGGTTTGCAGGATGGGTCTCCTTGAAGAGCTGCCGGATGCAATGCGCTCAACGTCCCAGGAGCTGTTGTACTCCTGCAAGAGCAAGTGTCATTGTGAACCATTAGGGAGACCCTTTGAATGGGCCTCATGATCCCGGGGCAGGAGCACCCCTGTCTGGAAATCCCTGTCTGGAAATCAGGCCCCTGCAAAGGCCTCCATGTGGGCCCCTGAAATCACCCGTTCCAGGACAACCTGGGTCCAAGTCCAACCCAGGCTCCTGCTCCCACTCCAGTGCCTCCCCCTGTGGCCTTCCTCCCCATGGGCAGAGAAAGATGCTTTCTCAGGACAAGGGGAGACAGGCAACACCATCAGCTAAGGCAGCAGATCCTGCATATGCGAGGAGCATGATGAACCCACCCCCATGGCTTGTGGATAGAAGCTGTCCTACCTGTTTAGAGCTCGTACTTGCAGATGAAGGCTTTTTTCATTCTGCAGATACTATTATTCCATCTTTCATACCCTAGGAGACAAAACAGAAATTACCAAGGGGAGGGGACAGGCTGCATGTGATGCACTCCCTGCCTCTGACCCCTGCTCTAGGACATGATCCCAGGTCCTGTCGTTGACCCTGAGGCAGGGCAGAGTGAAGACAGCATCCAGAGCAGGAAGGGGTAAAGAGGAAAGGCCCCACATGCATGAGGCATGGGGGGAATGGCAGACCAGGCTCTGGGTGCACTTATGACTGACTGTGCTGCCCTTGACACAGTCCCTGGGAGAGGACGTGGTGCCCACAAGGCTGTTTCCAGGAAGAGAAACCAAGGACGGGAGTCTCAGGTCCCTTGGTGCCATCGGTGCCATCCAGTGTTGTTGCAAGGAAGCTGCGCTGAGTCCTGTTCCCTGGACACGGCACCATCCCACAGCAGTGCGCAGCTCCCTTGATCCGTGCCCAGCTCTGCTGTTCCAGCTGGACGCAGCCAATCCCCAGCCCTCTCTCCAGATGGGTTCAGGGAAGGGCACCTTGGGTCTCTCACTGTCTCCTGGCTTTTTTATTCTGGCACTCACACATGCAGTGCAGTCAGTGCCTGGCCCCTGCACACACATGCACACAGACATGCTATCCAACCACTGCTCCAGCCCTGGATTCTGCAGTCAGGTCCTAGGGACCACCTTGTTTTCTCTTTCTCTCTTCTTCTTCAGGCCTCCCTGCAGCCACTGCTCTGCCCGGTGGCTTCTCTCTCTTGCTCCGTGCAGAGCTCCCTTGTCTCTTCCACACAGCCAGAATCCAGGGTGTTTGCACTAGTGTTGCCACATGCACTCACCTTCCTGCACAGTCCACGACCCCTGCACACTTGCACAGGTGAAGGCAACATAGATATAACTAAACTAGATAGGCAATGAGCACAAGCTCTGGTGAACTCGTGTTCACTTCCAGGGGGGCTGTGAGAGGACAGCATGGAGCAGGATAGAAAGTGGAGGACTGATCTGAACACAGAGGTGTGAGAAGAGGAGGGAGAGGGAGGGGAGAGGGACAGTGCTGGGAGAAGCAAACAAGCCACCAACCCATGGACACAGACCGGGTCATGGAAGCTAACCCAGGGGTGGGGTAAGAGCCCGTAACCCCCGTTGAAACCCCACCTAATACAGTCTAGTGTGTGGATGATTTCTTGCTCAAATATTTCCCATTAAATGCATGTTCAAAATATATTATGGATAGGCTTTTGTGTGTTCATGCACATCTTGTAAAATTTGTAGTCCAGGAGAAAAGTCTGCACAAAAGCAGGGTCTATTCCTGGGTCCATCAGCGTCTCATAGCTTGGAGTCACAGCCTCCTACTTACGCATCTTTTCCATCAGCTCCACGCAGTACTCCACCCAGTTCAAATTGTAAGGTTCACCCTTCTTCCAAGCTGTGTAGTTGTATTTTGAGCCATCTGTCCATGTCCATGCTCCATTCTGCAAGAGGAGGGAAAGGTTAAGTAGGGAACATCCCCTGGAAATACATGCTAAGGGCACCTCCAAAAATCACAATGGCCACAATAGCCTGTGCTGCATGCTCAGCCTCAACTATTTGGTGCCTGAGCAGCTGAACATGGCTCTGACTAAGCCCACCCCTATCCCTGCTCAGCACAGCCCTTAGCCAGCAGGCTGTAGCACACCGGGGTGGCCCTGCCCTGCACCCAGCCTTGTGCCACATTGCCCTGGGAAGGGGCAGGCTAGTGGCTTGTGTCAGAAGGAGACAGAGCAAGAGGGAGCCTGACTGTCACCAGAAATGAGGCACTTTGTTCTGGAGGAAGGGAACCGGGTGCAGCAGCTTGCAGGACACAGTCACTAGTCAGGAACCAGAGGTGGCAGGGAGCCTCAACCCGGTCCCATGCAAGGCAGGACCGCATGACTCCCCCTCCCTCCCACTGGCCCCAGGACTCCCATACTGGGGAGAGGGATGCCCCAGTTTCAGCAGCCCATGCATAGGGACCCTTGAGGCCTCTTCGCCTGCCCTGGGGACTGAGAGGAGCCGTCCAGAACCAGGGAGGGCCAAGGCACATGGGCAGGGGAAGCAGGAACTTACATGCCGAGGGTCATGAAGCCCGATCCAGACAGATCCACCAGGAGCAGTTCTCAAGATATAGCTGGAAACAACATTTGTTTCTCTGTTGCTGTGAATAGTGGCAAGATGGGTCCAGGGGCTGTAGCTCTGACACTCCACCTGTAAC